AATATCCGTGAACCTGATTTTTTTTCCCCGCAGCTAGGCTTGCCACGATAGACGGTGTTGACGGTGATATCGGTGTTAAGACGCAACACCGGTGACATCACTTTTCTACCGTGACACTTTTTTTAAGTATTCGTTTTTTTATTTTTTTTTATTAAACATTTATTTAAAATAAATGGAAAATATAATTATAAATAATTGACTTAAAACGAGAGCATGCTCTATAATTAAAATCAAAACATAGCTAGTGCGTCATATTTCATTTACCACGTGAGGAGAAAAGAGGAGTCGAATTTACAGAAAGAGGATGGCGGACGATTTATTGTCAAAACGCAATGCAAAAGCGCATGTTTGGCAAAATTTTGGGTTCAAACCAAATGCATAAGAGAACCTGATGACGTTAATGAGGCAATCTGCAAACTTTGCCTGACAAAGGTGGCAGTATCTGGAAACATAAGTAATTTATACACGCACCTTCATGTTTAACTATGGGTGGGTCGCGGATAGATCAATGGCCATAAATACGCAACGCATACTCTTATTTAAAAAAAAATCACGCGACCATCATCTCACAATGTTTAATAATAAATATTTTTTTTTTTATTAAAACGATTTAGCAATGCCGCGCCTTTGACAATCCAACTGCAGAGAAACATCGGCAACCGTGAGGACTTTTTCCGAAGTTCAGCTGTTCTTATTTCCACTTGTTTATGTGTTTAATGTCAAAAAAATCCATAATGTCTAGGCCAAAAAGATGGAATCCTGTGTGTGCGCACATCTTTTATAACTGAGGCCGCTCTCTTCAAAAACCGAAAGTTGCTTAATTCTGTCTGGCAATATTTCGGCTTTTAATATATGAAAAGTTTATTTAGATGAGCCAATATTAAAAATTGCAATAAAGTAACTGAGATGTGCGGCCACACATCGAATCTGAGGACTGATTTCTCTCTCTCTCTCTCTCTCTCTCTCTCTCTCTCTCTCTCTCTCTCTCTCTCTCTCTCTCTCTCTCTCTCTCTCTCTCTCTCTCATTCAGACATCGAGCCACAACACAAGTCAAGTTGCAAAACTTAGGCAGGTGCAGCTGACAGGTAGAATAGCTGAAGCCTTTACGAAATCTGTCAAAATGCACCTGTGAAATTAATAGGCATAAATGTCTTTGAGCCAAAAAAAAGTCTATTGGTAGGATATCTGTAAAAACGCAATTGGAGCCAAAGATATGAGTTGTGTAGCCTATAAATTATAGGCCTATTAATTCTAATAAAATGAAAACTAAAATTAACAATTCATAGCATTTTTCGTTTGATAAAAATATACGTAAACGAAAAAAAATCAAAGGGTGGCTAATTTGTATTAATGTGTTTTAATTTTAATGAAAATATGCTCAGCATATTTAATTAACGGCTATACGCCGTCAATAGACAAACCATTCAAAACATATTATTTTACCGTGTACTGGGTTATAATGTATATTTTACAATAAAAACTAAACGTAGCATGTCTCGCTGTCATTTAAAACGTGTAATTCATACCACACCAGAGCTGTGGACCTGTAGTGTTTAAACTTACAGGGCGGTTGGTCAATAGTCTTAATGCGCACTGAACTCCAATCCGAGGGACTCGACAGTTACTCGATAGACAACATTAAACTTGAGAGAATTAAAAAATAATTTTTTTTTTAAAAGGAACAACGCGCAAATCTGCAACAAATAAAATAAAAATAAAACGTCTTGGCAGTGCTGTGTGTATTCCGCCACTGACAGTGTGAGACGCCCTTGCTGCGCGCTTGTAGAGAGATCAAAGCTGTATCGATAAAACCAAAAAGCAAGATCATTTAGTTATAAATATTCCATAATACTTATCGAAATATTTATACATTTAGGCCTACATGTTGTTTATTGAGATTGTGTGATCTGTATAGTTTGTCTGATCTCTCCAGAAGCTGTAAACTGACACATGTGCGATTAGCTCTGACGAGGCGCTTTTATTTAGCCTGCCCTTTGATTTTTTACATAATGTTCCAATTCTTAATTTTTTTTCATATAGTTTAAATATAAAATGAGTGCTCGCTTGTTTGTGATCATTATGCAAGGTTTCATATTCGGTTTATTCTTCAATAGCCTAAATTCGTTAATAATGTATTTTATAAACGGATTGTTCATAAGGACTAAGCTCATAATATATAACAAGGCGTTTATGGTTGTTATTTGTATGGTTCCAACTTACACAGTTTTTTCAGCCTGTAGCAGTGTTGTGTTTTATTCGTTATGTAAATAAAAGTTATGTTTTGTTTAATAACAGGGATTTTTTTTGTAGTTTCCTTTCCGTCCATTCAAACAATTGACACCGAATTGGCAACTCCCGCAAAACTGAAGTGAAAGTATTATACGCACGCATTTATAAGCTATTTAAAAGCAGAAAAAAAGAGGAAATGAAAAAATGCCCACTCCCACGGTGATACCGGTATTACCGGTGTTGTCACATGTCGATTAACCGGTGGGGAAATTTCCTCACCGTCACAACCCTACCCGCAGCCACAGTACGCCGGAAATCCGGCGTGGTGCCGGAACGCTATCACCCCTGATTTATGTGAAGGGGTAGGGGTCTCCGAATTCTCTTTAGTTTGAAGGCGTAGGGCTAAAAGGAAGGACTAGATAGTCACTGAAAAAGATTTTCCAGGACCACACTCAAAAGTAAGCAGTACGAACAATTCCTAGAAAAAAAACATCTACAACGGCAACATGGCTGAACATGAGAGTCAGGAGACGAACAAATTTGTATTTTTTGGGCATTATTAAGAATTTTTACATGTTTAAATAGATCCATGATGACGTTTGTTTTAAGGTCATGTTTATAAAAAATAAATACATATATGTATTGCATAAATGCATACATTTGCTAACTATAAACCATAAAAATAACTCCTGTACAGCAATTCCCACAACATACTTTTACATGTCACTCGATGACACTCGAATACTCTGTCGGAGAAGTCTAGTGGCTGGAAAACACTTCTGGTGTCTGGTAGGCTATAAAGCTCATTTTGTTTTCTTGTGTTTATGAATATGGCCATGGTGTAAATGCACAGAACAGTTACAAGCTTATTGCCACATGATAACATGATACCATTAAATTCTGTGATTTCCTGAAGATAAATACCAGACAATAATGCAAATAACTGAAGCAGTTGCCATTGTCAAGAGTATATAAAGTAAGCGCTCACGATGACATATGATGATGTGTGTGTTGTAGTGGTGACCCATTTCTTCATGGTAAAATTTGAAGCCCTTCACAATCTGTTTCGAGGGCCAAGGAAAAAGGGTAGGCCAAGGGATAGGGGTGTCAAAAAATGTAAAAAATCGAATTGGCATTGGGCCTTTGTCTATTTATTTATTCACAACAAACAATGGGGTGTGATCAATCCTCTAAAAGCAAGTGCTTGATAAATTTAAAAAAAGCTGTCGCTGAAAAAAAGAAGTGACAAAAGTGCAATTGAAGTGATTTAAATTATGACTGCTATAGAATTATGTTGACAGGCCTAAAACTTAGATCAAAATATCAGCATATATTTTATTCGACTCTAGTAAACAGACATTCCACAAGATTGTATTAGCATTTTAAAAAGTGCATATTAGATTAGGAGTCTCATGTATCATCTTATATTGGAGAAGATTCAGTGCTCCACTAAAGGTTGCAGTCAAAAATACCAATTAATTAAGCAGCCAGTGCTGACTTACAATATTAGGAGCAAATAATTCTAAACTTAATATTTGTGGTTAGACTATGTTGATTATGTTTTATTTTTCCCCCTACAGTTTATATTTAATCATTTGTTTTTTAAGCATACTGTAATTTATGTTATGTACAGTATATGTATAATATATGAATGAACAATACGATTAAACATGTATAAATCTAAATTTGTTTATGCATGTACAACAAAATGACGTAAAACAGATTAAGAATGTGCAGAATATAATGCAGAGCAATGAATGCAGAGGGGCAGGAAAGCTTAGTTAGAGCAAAGACAATTTGCTTCTATTAAAAAAAAAGTTGTTTATTGTCAAATTAAATGTCAACAAACACAAAGAAAACATGCAATTTCAAAACAAAACATGCCAAACATTCAAAACAAACTACTGTAGGTTAAGCATCAGTTTAAATCAAAACATCTCAATTATTTTTTGTTCTACTTCAAGTATTTTCTTTTATTTATCACAACAAACCACGCTGCTTGCAAACATTTGTTGTGACTGTATTTGTGCCCAGTACTATGTGAGAGCGAGTAAGTGTGTGAGTGAGTGCATTTACAGGCTTGAGGGCCTGGTCCTTCTATGAATACAAGCTGATTGAGGTCAGCGACCCATAACAATCCATTTCATTATAAAAAGGTTGCGTTTTCTTAAAACATAATTGCAAATAAACCTCGAGTGATTATTGTGGTTGAAAGGTTGATAAAGGTCATTGTGTGGGAGTGATAATTAGTTGGTTCTATACATGTCCACAGCAAGTAGACAGGTCTATTGGAGATGCACAGATTGACTGGAAATAAATCAGAACCTTTTTTTCGTCAATCTCTTTCCCAGACTTGCAGACAAAGAGCTCATTTTATATTAAGAAGTCTTTAAACCGAATGCTAAAAGATGTCTGAGGAATTCTGTAAGCAGTAAGATTGGTGCGTCTCACACTGGTTGTTTCCAAGTAATTGCAATTGCCTCTTTAGCATGTTTAGCTAATAAAGTTGTTCTTTTTATTCCCAAAATCATCTAATCACTAAAAATTTAAAATTCATATCACAATTGGACAATTTACATGTAAAAAACTGAAATGGCAATCACAACTGGCCATCAAAGATTGGTCAAGATTCAATCAAGATTGGTGAATCACTAAAATGTGTCCAATGGAATGAATGCAGATCAACACACTCCAAGAAACACTTAGTTAGTTGTGTTTCAATTAAGTAATAACACAATACACTGATTTAATAACAATTGAATGCATCTTACCATCATTTTCTCAAAGAGGGCAAGGATTTCTTTCTCTGATGTGATTCTTGAAGAAAGCTCCTCAAATTCAGAGGAAGATGACCAGTCACCAGAAGAGGAGTGCTTGGACATGTGGGAGAGATTTGGCCGTTCCTTTTTACTGCCAGGGATCCGGATACTGGAAAATCTGTCCAACTGAAAGAACAATGAAACATTTGAGACCGTAATTATTTCTTTATAATAGTAAAATAAAAAAGCAAAGAATACACAACCATACAAAACTCCAGAAAGTACTTTATAATGCAACAAAAGATTTTCGTTTTAAATAAACACTGTTTCCACAAAAATATTAAGCAGCACAAGCATCCCAATATCAGTGCTTCCCAAACATACACTCTACTTGGGTGGGCCACCCAGGTATATTAATGGCCACCGAAGTAAATTTGATGACAGTTTTTTTTTATTCTATTTGATCAATATTATCATGCCAATAAAGCAACCTGAACTTAGGAGAGAAAGAGCAGCTGTGGCTCCTCTTAACCCATTGAAAAGAAAAGTGTGAAACAGTGTCATAATTAAGTTAGTGTTAATCACATTACTTTTAGTGTCACATGTAGTTAACCATTTATGTGCCATAGGTAAAGGATGTGTTTCAATTTGGCTAGCCTCGCAAGTATATTTTACACCAGTGGGAAACACTAAATATATGATAATAATAATAATAATAATAATAAGAAGAAGAAGAAGAAGAAGAATAGTAGTATTCACTATTATTATTTTTATTATTATTATTATTATACCGGCTCTACATCATTCCAATGATAACTATTTGTGAACAAATGAAATTTTTATATTTATTTTCATTTAAGACTTATGTTTATATAAAAATGTATAACTTTTATGTGAAAATATATTAGAAAATGTATTACTTATTGCTAGATCTTAAACAAAACAAAAAGTACAAAATAATGGCTAACAATAGGGCTGCGCAAGTAATCGAAATCCAATCGCAATCGATAGGCTGCGATATGAAATATATAATATTTAACTTCACCCACCCAGAGCAAATGCATGACTGCTGTCTAAAGCAGGTCGCACACCAGAAGCGCCGCTCGGCGCCGCGACACGGCGCGTACATGACAGTTTAAAGTATTACACACCAGACGCGCACATTCGAATGATATTTAACATGAAACTAATCAGATGGCGCTCTGTGGCGCGGCTGAAAAATGAACTGCGTCCTGAGCCGTCGCCGGGCGTCGCCGACAGCCGCCGACTTGCGGCGCCGGTGTGTGTATCCTGATAGAAACCTATGTTTAGAATTCTAAAATACATGGCGCTACGTGGCGCTAGACGGCGCGCCGCCGAGCGGCGCTTCTGGTGTGCGACCTGCTTTAGTGTGACAGTCTTACTAGCCAATTGAGTGAGCACACTTTCGTTCTGCCCAATCAGAATTACGTAACCAAACTATGCGGAACGCCCAAAATAAAAATCAAAAAACACGAAAGAGCATTGTTGCCACTTCAGAAGCATTAATAAGCGAATTGATATCAAAGAAAAACAGCACGTCGGTAATATGGAAATATCTTAGTTTTAGTCACAGACTGTTACAGACACCAAACAAAACCAGGTCATTGTAAGACCTATCGCAGAATTGTTGCCACAACATGAGGAAATACAACAACCAGCACATAAAAAGCACCACGGGTGGCTATGTAGGGAGTGTCTTTCTAAATGTTAACTAAAAGTACTGCCAGTGACGCTTAATCTAGTGGCAAGCAGAGAACAATTTTAGAGTTGTTTATTAAGATAAGTTGATATTTTTTTCTGTTCCTTTTTTAACACTCACTGCATTTTAGCATTAAGAAGCTACAATACAGATTATTGAGCTGAATCTTGACTAAAAAGTTAAATATCAAATCAAATTGAAAATATCTGAGGAAAAGAAAATTATAACTTAATCACAATTAGGTATTTTCCCCAAATTGCACAGCCCTAGCTAAAAAAAAAAAATAAAAAAATAAAAAAACTTTATTTAACCCTATTAAGAGCCTCCCATAAAAGCGCTATATAAATGGAAGGATTTATAATGATAATAATAATAATAATTATTATTATTATTATTAATAATAATAATTATTATTATTATTTATATTACTTATTATTTATTCTTATTAATAATTCAAAAGGGTTTCATCTTGATTACTAAAACTCTGCAACTGGAAAGGCCAGACCAAAAGCAACAATGCATAAACCAGACAGACATGAAGATTTTAATCTATCCGGATAGTTCTACAGGCCGCTGATGAGGTTAACACTTTGTAACAAGGTAACAAATCCACGAGGCCCAGAGGTCTTGTACATACCTACTAATGGCCTCTAAGGATGAGCCTGAACTGAACAGAAGTTCAAAAGCTTTCAGATCTTCATCAAACACCCACTTTAGCCCTTTAGCGGTGTCTATGATCGGTTCTAGCTTGCCTATTGTAAGCAGACTTCCATTAGGAGCTTCACATTCAGCATGCCTAACAAACAGAGAGCGTCCGCAGAGACACTGTAACCGGCCGTCGATTTATATTGAGGTGGCGGGCCCCCGCATCACACAGATAATCATTTCCTAATTGGATTAGATTTGTCAGAGAGCCGTTTTCTCCCCCTCTGCCTGTGGGCGCAATGCGGAAAAGACGGGCGACTGAGATGTCAGCGTTGGCTGAAAAGGTAGGTGGTTTATTTTCAGAGGGCTTGCCCCCTTTTCTTTCGAGGGGCGGGTAAAATTAGCAGCCGTTATCTTGGAGTATATTTTTCGCCGACGCCACCCATCGCGTATTATCTCGGCAAGAAGGAGAGCAACACGCTGAGATAATCAGCAATGACACTGATGTAAAATTAATTAAACCCAAGCAGTAGATCAGAGTGTAACTAGCGACTACAGTGCACAGAGCCGATGCAGAGAGCAAGCGCATGGTGTCTGATACCGAACGACACCATCATCTGTCTAATTTGGTTTGCTGCTGCCCTAAAGCGTCTCTTCGCTACATTGAGTGATGGCACTGATCAGTTTAATCACAGAGATTCATCCCCAGCGGAGGGAAGCAGCGCTTAGCTATTCCACACTCGTTACCGGTGAATAGATAAATAAATATGTGCAGCCGCCACCTCGATAACAACAACAACAGGCGTCATACTGCAGCCGACGCGAGCTGATCTAGATGATGAAGTGCTTTTCAGGGCTGTTTAGGTGTTTATGAGTGAGTCTGCGGCTTACTTTCATGCGATCTCTCTCTCCCTTCCTCACCGACAGACACTTTGATGTTACTAATGGCTTCATTCCCCTTCAATGCTCTTCTGATCACTCCACCAGACCCCTCTTCAGTAATTCAGCCTCTCAGCACCAAAACACATTTCTACCATGACCAAACATCAGCCCTCACTTGGAAAAAAAAATAACCTTCCATTATCTAAGGACAGGATTCGCTCATCAAAAACATGTTCTACAATATCCTGCCACCCTACAAATTCAGCAAATGGTGCCCAGAGAATGCATGTGCTAATTACTAAGCTGATTCGCTGCTTGTTCGTTTTCTCGCTCTTCTCCTTTCTTGTGTGTTTACCCAACGACTATAAATCCACTTCTTGGTCCATTTATATCTGCTAACATGTTGCAATTGAAATACTTTTTTTAATGTTATACTAAATTGTAATTTGTGTTTAATTCATTTAAATAAGTATAGGAAAACACTTAAATTGAGCTGAGAATGCAGCTCCATTAACCTTATAACAGTAACTTACCAACATTATTTTAGATGTTATTATACATCTAGTTACAATTTATATTTTTGCATACTGGTTAGGGCTGGACAATGTATCGTTTTAGCATCGATATTGCGATGTGATCATTTGATGCAACTATCCAGCTAACTCTATCAAGCCTCTTCAACTGCTCCAGAACGCAGCAGCATGAGTGGTCTTCAATGAACCTAAACGAGCACATGTCACTCCGCTGCTAGTCCGTTTGCACTGGCTGCCAGTTGCTGCTCGCATCAAATTCAAAGCTCTGATGTTTGCCTACAAAGTGACTTCTGGCCTTGCTGCTCCTTATCTGCTCTCACTTCTGCAGATCTATGTGCCCTCCAGAAACTTGCGTTCTGTGAATGAACGTCGCCTCGTGGTTCCATCCCAAAGAGGGAAGAAATCACTTTCGCAAACGCTAACGCTTAATCTGCCCAGCTGGTGGAATGAACTCCCTAACTGCATCAGAACAGCAGAGTCACTCGCTATTTTCAAGAAACGACTAAAAACTCAATTATTAAGTCTCCACTTCACTTCCTAATCTGCAATTGCCTCTGAATATCACACTAACTGTACAACAAAAAAATATATACATATATTTTGTTGATTTTTTTTTCGTCTTGTTTCCAGTCCAAATATTTAAAAATTCTTATATCAAGAAGCATTTTTTAGGCAAGCAAAACATATTGTCTTGTTTTAAGAAATAATATGCCAGAATGAAGTAAGTTTTGCCTTAAAACAAGCTAAATAATCTGCCAATGGGGTAAGCAAAATAATCTTGTTTTTCCTTTTGACATGAGATAAATTTGCTTACCCAATTGGCAGATTATTTTACTTGTTTTAAGGAAAAACTTAGTTAATTTTGGGATATTATTTTTTAAAACAAGACAATATGTTTTTCTTGCATAGAAAATACTTCTAAATATAAGAATTTTAAGATATTTGGACTGGCAACAAAACAAACAAAATCTAAGTCAGAAAATCATTTTTTGCAGTGTGTATAAGAAATTCTAACAATAAAAAAATTGTTGAATTTAATATTTTAGACCAAGAAGTCTGTGCAGTGTTAGTTGTTTACAGTTGATTATTCAATTTCTACTTGAATACAATTAAAAAAATAAAAAATAAACACTGTCTGTTTCATTTATGCAGATTAATATTGTAAAAAAATCTTCTCAATTTTTATAAAGTTATGAGTTCTTGCCAAATTGATTCATCTGATGAAAAATAAACATTGAAATTTTGTTTTGTTTTTCAATATCGTGCAGCCCTAATGCTGGTATATTTCCTTTCCACTTAATAAATCTTACTTACTAAATGTGCCAAATAAAATAGTGTGATATCACTATCAGCCACTCTGCTTTCTCTCTGCGTACATATTGGGCATCACAAAAAAACACATCCTT